ATTCTTTGTGGCCATGGCTTGTTGATATGACAGTCAAGGGCTAGAAGAAGCCTGGGAGTGAGCTAAAATGAATGATGTACTTATTTCATATATTCATGCTGCATGTATTGGTTTTTTTTTATTTTTCTCTGTATCATTTTGTATGAAAAGATATTACATTTTCCTTTTTTAATATTCTGGCTATGTAGTAGTGGTTATGAATATAAAAGATATGAAGATATGTTTACACTCATTCATTCTGTCTTATTTATACTTGTTGAATGCAAATTATGTTACTGTGTACAACCAGGATCTGCTCACAATTTATTCAATTTGTCTGTTGTTGTTCCATATCTGTGCCTAAACTAAATACAAGTCTTTCCAAGCAGCTGTAAACATGAGACTCCGTGGGCTGGTAATTTACAGGTTAGGCTCCAAATTTTCCCCTGAGTCATGTGTTTTGATCATATCAGGAAAACAAAAACAGCAGGGTTTGTAATTTATACACAGTGTTAGAGTACAAGGAAGAACACAAAATTCTACATATTAAAATCAGCAAGTATTATATGGAAAAATAGTGCCTGGTCCAAAATGTTTAATTCCAGTCAAAAAATAATATTTATGAAATACTTAAATACTTGCAGGCAGTGTCTGTTTTACAAAAGGGCAAAGAGGGCAATTGCAAATGCACAGAGCGCATTTTAAAATTTTTCACACACATTAAATATGTATTTTTGTTAAAAAACACTTTAAACCCTAAGACAAACTTTTATCTTGCAAATTGTGTGGGTTTTTTTAATTGCAAGATGGTTATGGTTATCACAGATATTACCTGCTTCCTCAGATTGTATATACAGTACATATAAGATACAAATTTCCTAATGTGCATGTATGGTACTCTGTATGGATATGTCAGACCATTTTGGTGGGGGCCTGCAGGGGACATACAAACTCCCCACCAATTGTGCTCTACCAACATGTTTCAAACCTCCAATCCAACTGGTCTAATGGAATCCAGGACATATGTGGCAACTGGCAATATGTTTAGAAGCCTTAACAACTTTTGGATGGGACACATAGATGCCCAATTTCTTCCTAATTGACTAGAATCCTAATTGACTATCTGAAAACAACTGGCACGTATACCCTGGGTTCCATAAGACCAAAACCTGGTAATCATAGTTCTGGCAGCCAGTAAAATATGGGAAACAACTGTGCATAAATGGGAAGGAAAAATAGTCTATGCCAAGGTGAAAGATTGTTAGGGCCGGTACTGAACATGTAAAAAAAAAAACCCAATGACTTAAGAGTTTAGTTGGAAAAATTTTCTCTAGAAGCAGGTGTACAAGGGAGAATATAAAGGGCAGATTTTAGCTAAATTACATAGGGTGAGATACCTCCTTAGAGTGATTTTGTGTTCAAGACAGCTGGTCACCTTGTATATATACTTTATAGTTCCGGACCATTGATAATCAGTAAAAGAGGTGGGTAGATCTGTCTCCCAGTGTAAAAAACAGGAAGACTTGTTAAAGCAGGATTGGTTGTTCAGGATATTATAGAATAGGGAAATACCTTTTCTGGCTAGCATAACTGACATGTAATAATGCCATGCAGTGGCAAGGACATATGTTACTTTTTCTGGAATTCCCATAGGGAGTGAGTGACTTGTAAATATGTGAAGAAGTCAGAATTTGGCAAGCCAAATTCAATTGCAAGCTCCACAAAGCTTTTGATGGTGTCCCTGTGTATAAATCGTTGACTCCAGAGATAACATGTTGTCAACCAAGATTGCATTGAGGGAGCAAGTACACAGGCAGAGGATGCCAAAGATTGATTAGCAGACATGTACAGTATATAGATTGTTCCCCGGAGCTACCAATTTTTCAATGTCTAGCCACAGTATGTCAGGGGATGGTCGGAAACAATGTCTAAGCTGGATCTAGACAAATAGAAATGAAACAATCTGATGAGTCAATACATCTAATCCCACTATATTTTCTGTGTATAACCCGTTGGTTGTGGACTGCTCTGGTTTTCTTTCCTTGCCGAAGGAGGCAATTAAATAGTACATTTTTAATTATCTTAGCTATTTAATGAAAAAGGGATAGTCTGGGTTCTAACAAGGTATAAGATTTGTGGTAGTAGGGACATCTTGAAGGATGCTAGTCTACCGGACCAGGACAGATTGGATTTGGATAGCTGTGAATCATCCATAGACAAATTTTCTATAAGACGTTTGTAGTTTAGGTTGATCAACATATCTGTTTTAGAGGCTAAAGTGATATTTAAAGAGCGAACACTGCTGTCCTTCCACACATACAGGAGGGATTCTTGCAGAAGGAGTTTGGTTGGTTGACCTACCCCCAAACCTGGTATCAGGGAGAAGTAATTTTTTTAATAATACAGGGAGCTAAAGAGAGTCAAAGTCTGTGAGCTTTTTGAAGGGAGGGTGTGGGGTCCATTAAGAGCAGGATGATGCCATCTGTAAAAAAAAGATCTTTTGATCTTTTGCAGCCATGTCTGGAAGGTAAAACCTGAAATTTCTGGGTGAGATCTGGGGTAACAGTTTGGGGTTTAATGGTAATTTAATGATATACAGTATACTAGCTGTGGTACTATTGTGGAAATAATAATCCATTCTATGTTTTATGGTAATTTTTGTACAATGTTATGAATCTGTATGTAAATAAAAATCATACTTATATCATATATTTATGATTGATGGTGTGACACCTTTAAAGTCCTGGTTGGTGCAATTGATATAAAAATCTTTTAAGAAAAATGAAAGATCTTTGTGGAAACGTAGCAGGTGTGTAGGGATGGAGACTTAAGTGAAGAAATCTTTACTTCCTATGACAGTGACAGTGGTACCAACAAGACAGGTGAAGTGAAGAAAAAGTATCCCAATAGAGAATATTTTTTATCATTAGCATAAGGGAAGTCTAGAACTTGTTTTCTGTTTGTATTTTTTAGTTCACTTTGTATTTATCATATTAAACTACCCTCAAAAGTTGACATCATGTACCTATATGTGTCTGTATACTGTAAATGTGTACCTTGTTGCTTGAGCACATGGCGAGCCCTAAAACTCGAGGCATTTTTTTTACAAAATACAAACTTTATCCCTCTCACATCTTGCACCTCACCATTGTCCAATCCCTGGAGTCTAATTTTGAAGTATACCATGAGTTTAAGCTTGAAAACCTTTCTAAGGTGCCTTTGGAATTTTCTTTAACTATAAACATAATACATTGCAACACTATGCTTTAAAAAGTAGGTCAAAAATTCCTCCCCTTTGTAATATTGCTGATGTATTTGATCCCTTTTATGAGCTATGGCAAAGGTGTGATAGATTGCCAGTGGATATTGATTTGGTCCCAACCTCTGTATTTATGCTCAGGCCCCCTGTCACATATGTCTATTATACTTATCAGAAATTAAGTGCTGCATGTTCTTGTAAGACCTGACACTTTGCTCTGAAGTTTTACATCACCCATCAGAAAAAATTATTTTCAGGGTTAAATTAGATATCATGTTATTTGACTGTTCTGTGCTCTCTGTCCAAGCAAATCATTTTTAAATTTTTCCCTGCAGCCATGCTATTTAACATTATCCAATTATTGCTCCTTTCCTTTGCATTTAAGAAATATAGCCCCGGATGCTTCCATTTTCAGAGTAATGCCTCTTAATACATTTTATTAGCATAATGTGTTAGACAAAAAAAAGAAAAATGTGTAGCTCTACACTTTGTGTGTTCTCAGTCCCATCAAGCCACAGTGACAATTCCATGAATATAAGTTCAGGCTGACACTGTAATTTAATGCATATCTTGTACACTGAACATGAAGGCATGCATAAAAGAATAGTCTAAACAGTCATTTAGGAGTACCTCATTACGGTTACATGCTTTGAAAATGTACATGTTTTGACTACGCATACCATGCATTAACAGCTATATAAACATAAATAACAGTTTACATGGTCACTTAGTTAGAAATAAATAACAAAATAACCTCCATGCATTCTCATTAGCATTACTAATGCTATCACTGAAAATTACTATTAACGACAACAATCTATAACAGCCCAATGTCAACCCAATAACAACAAGTGCCTGGGTTAGGATTTTTATGGTAGGATTAAAGGGCTTTATTTCCATTATTTACCTATAGTAGGATATATTTCTTTCTTGTCTCCCATAATTTACTTAGTTGGTGACCTCAGGCGTCTATAGGCTTTCAACTCTGGTCGGATCACATTCCCTGTTTTTTTTTTTTTTTTTTTAACCACACTCCTCCAAACTAATAGCCTCCTGGAGGTTGAATGAAGCCCTCTTAAATGATAGGCCGACTTGCACAGCAGTCAGGTGTACAGTCTCTCAATTTCTTTTGGACCACACCATAGACACGACAGCGCAACCAATTTGTCATGTACCTGATTGGAGACTGAAATGACGAGGTCGGCTTTTCTTGTGTCACTAGCTCTGACCCCATTGGAAGTGGAACAGAGGTTGTCTAGGGACCAGGGGGACAAGAGTGCCAGCAGATGTTGTTTGCAGCACTTGCAGCTGGAGTCCTTAACTAGTAGCCGACCGCAGATAGCCGAATGACGGCTGCACTGCGGCCGGCCAGTTCTGGGTGGACGTCATATGACGTCCCACCAGAACGCACTCTCCTGCGCGCCCCAGGGGGCGCGCACACGGCGATCTCCGTGATCGCTGTGTCCTACAGACACAGCTGATCACGTGATGTGGTAAAAGGCCAATCACAGCGGCCTTTTACCACCTAATCAGTGGTGTCCAATGACACGCTGATCAGAGGGAAATGCAAGTGCCGGTTCTCGGCTGCACTTTCCTCACGCTGTCAGATCGTGAGGAAAGTACTGCCGAGAACCGGCAGTTGTCAGAGCGAGGATCGGCACCGATCATCAGGGCACTGATGATCAGTGCCCTGATGATCGGTGCCCAGCAGTGCCACCCGCAAGTTCCGCCCACCTGTGCCCAGCAGTGCGCCCACTAACTCCGCCCACCTGTGCCCAGCAGATCACCCACCTGTGCCCAGCAGTGCACCCACCTGTGCCCAGCAGTGCACCCACCTGTGCCACTCTGCAGTGTCACACACCTGTGCCCAGAAGTGCCACCTACCTGTGCCCAGCAGTGCCACCCACCTGTGCCCACCCACCTGTGCCCACCAGTGCCACCCACCTGTGCCCACCAGTGCCACCCACCTGTGCCCACCCACCAGTGCTGCCCACCAGTGCCACCCACCAGTGCAGCCCAGCAGTGCTGCCAGTCAGTGCCACCAGTCAGTGCCCAGCGGTTGTGCCAGTCAGTGCCGCCAGTCAGTGCCCAGCAATGATGCCAGTCAGTGCCGTCTATCAGTACCCATCATCAGTGTCACCTATCAGTGCCGCCTATCAGTGCTGCATATTAGTGCCGCCTATCTGTGCCACCTCATTAGTACTGCCTATCAGTGCCCTTTAGTGCTGCCTATCAGTGCCCATCAGTGCCGCCTATCAGTGCCCATCAGTGCTGCCTCATCAACGCACATCAGTGAAGGAAAAAATTACCTGTTTGAAAAATTTTATAATAGAAACAAAGAAACTTTTTTTTTTTTTTTTTCAAATTTTTTGCACCTTTTTTATTTATAGCGCAAAAAGTAAAGTGCCCTGTGGCGATTAAATACCACCAAAAGAAAGCTCTATTTGTGAGAAAAAAATGATCAAAATTTCATATGGGTACAATGTTGCATGACCGCGCAATTGTCAATCAAAGTGCAGCAGCGCTGAAAGCTGAAAATTGGCCTGGTAAATAAGGGGGTATAAGTGCCTGGTAGGCAAGTGGTTAAAAGACTGATGGACCACCGATTAAGGAACAGCAGCGATATATAGAGCTGGTATGGTAGATTGCCAGGAGTGCACCAGAGCAAGGCAGGAAGCTGGGATGGGAGACAGGAGCAATGTCATAGGAATAGCCGGGGTCATCAACGGGCGGACAGCAAGGTACCAAGTCATAAGCAAGCCAAAGTCAGGAGCAGAGCCGAGGTTAGGAACAAGTATCAATCAGGAGAGTAATCAAGAGTCAGGTCAGGAATAAGCCGGGTCAGCAACAATGGAATCACACAGGAACATTCAGGAAACAGGGAACAGCTGAAGACCAGTCAGCACTCAGCACAGGCAGAGGCACCCTTTAAATAGTCTGTCTGGCGCCAATCTTCGCCGTGCGTGTGCAGGTGTGCGTACATGTGCGCGATTGTGCATTTCTGTGCGCACGTCTATTCACCAGCCATCTCACGGGAATTCCCTTACATTGCCCCCCCCTTAGGGGAAGCCTCCGGATGCCTACTAAAGCTTGTTTTTCAGGATGAAGATGAAGGTAAGCTTGCACTAACCGTGGAGCATGGACATTAGTGGATGGTTCCCAGGAATTATCCTCTGGACCGTAGCCTTTCCATTTGATGAGGAACTGGGTCTGACCACCCCTCTTTCTACAGTCCAGGATGGCTGCTACTTCCTATTCCTCATTACCTTCAACAAGCAGTGGAGCAGGAGATTCTGGACCTCGATCTGGAAATAGACTTCGGACTGTTGGTTTTAATAAAGAGACATGGAATACCGGATGGATCTTCATATTCTTTTGTAACATTAATTCAAAAGCTACAGAATTAATCTTTCTTTTGATTGTAAATGGTCCCAGGTACCTTGGACCAAGCTTCTTTGAAGGGCAGCTCAATTTCAAGTTTGTTGTAAATAGCCAAACCTTATCTCCTGGTTTCAGATTCCCCCTTCTTTTCCTATAAAAAAAAATCTCTTGTTATTTGCCTGAGCCTTTAAAATAGTTTCTTGTAACATTTGACCATTCCCATTGAGGAAATCCAGCCTTTCTTGTACCTCCGGGACAGCGGGTTCCCCTGGCATTTCAGGGAGGAAGGAAGGATGGTATCCATAGTTGGCATAAAAAGGGGACTGTTTGGTAGCAGAGTGGATGGAATTGTTTTATGCAAATTCTGCCAATGGAAGGAAAGACACCCAGTCATCCTGTGAGTAAGAAGAGAAACATCGTAAATATTGTTCATCAATTACTAAATCAGTTGTATTTTTAGCATAAAGACTGTATTCATAGAACAATATATGAGTTTGGAAATAAGGCAAGTAGGCCATTAGCTAGGTCAATTCACACAAAATTAGGATGTATGTATATCCCTAAATTTTGCTGTCCTAAAAGGGTCCTGATGCACTCATCTGAAGATATAGCTTTGGGGTTTCATGAGTACTACACTACTCTTTATAATACAGTTCTCTAATCCTCTTACGGCTCAAACTAATACTCAGGGTCTTCCCCAGCTTTCTCAATACATCTCGGCATTGGTCCTCCCTAGGTTGGAACAGTCTACAGCTGATTCCTTGAATGTTCCCTTTACCACAGTGGAAATCATTCAAAATGACAAAAGGCGCTTTTGTCGGGTAAGAGCCCAGGTCCAGGTGGACTTTTTAATGCCTTTTAAAAAACAATTTCATGATGTCTAGCCCCTATTTGAACATTGCTTTTACCCTTCTCTCTAAAGACCAGAATGAAAACACTCAATGCTCGAGTTACCACTCGATTTCTTTAATCAATCTTAACCTTAAAATTGATGCTAAATTACTAGCAGATAGATTTCAGTCAGTCCATTTTAACTGAACCCACTCCCATGGGTGCTTCCCACTGATCTTCTGCCAACAACACAGTTAACATCCTTGCTTACCTTGATTTTATTAATTTGGGATAATGTTATTAAAATGGATGGTGTCTCCTTGTGATGCTAAATTACTAGCAGATAGACTTCAGTCAGTCCATTCTCATATTATTAATCTAGATCAAGTGGGCTTCATTCCCACCCACGAAGCACAGGATAATACAATCAAAATATTGTCCCTTATCTGTTATTGCCAGTCACGGAAGGTCCCCCTTTGTCTTCTTTCATTTGATGCCAAAAGGCATTTAATCGCATTGACTGGGTTTTCTTACAAGCAACACTGGAGCAAATTGGTCTACCCTTGGATTTCATCCATAAAATAATGGCCCTCTATTCTTTTCCAACAGCTCGCATTAGGGTGAATGGCTTACTCTCGGACCTGATTCATATTTCTAATGAGAACGTCCGGACTGTCACATTTTTTTGTTTTTGTATATATTAGCAATGGAGCATTTAGCAATTGCCCTGTGCGCAAACAATTCAATACATAGTGTGGACAGAACATTACAGGTAAGCCATATAAGGTCAGCCTGTTTGCGGATGACCTGTTACTCCACATAATTAACCCGCAAATAGCACTCCTCTCACTTTCTAATGAAATTGGAACAATTTGGCACTTTCAGTAAATTTAGAATGAATGTGTCAACATCATACTATCTTGACATTTCACTTCCTCCAGGCACCCGACGGCACTCTCTTGTCAATAAATTTTCACTTCAATGGATGCAGAACTCCATTAAATATCTTGGAGTACAAATACATTCGCAACCTTAGATTTCTGTATGTCTTTTAAACAATCCAGATCTGGGCCCCATGCTCACTCTCTTTTTTCAAAAATCAAATTTTATGAGAGATAAACTTACAGCGATTGGACTTACAATGTAGATAGATTCATTTGTAAGTGATTGTAGGTAATTTATAACAGTAGTATTACATAACTTCATTCAAATAAATTCAGTAAGTTGTCCGTTAGAAGAAAATTAAAGAAAATAAAAACATGACATTCGTGAAAGGTAGTAAACAATAGGCAACATTCGTATGTGCATATCAACCAATTTCAAATTGGTATATCAGAAATCTAATATTACCATGTCTTTCAAATTTTGGAAAGGAGTTAGTTCTAAGAACAAGCATTCTTTCGTAAGTTTAATTAACATTAATCTTGACTATAAGTTCTGATATACTGGGTGCTATGTTTTTTCGCCACATTTTGGTAATTAGTGATTTGGCTACTAGCAATATATTTAGTATAAGAATATGATAAGTAATAAGACATTTCTCAATACCCAAGCTGAGTAGTGCTAATGCTGGGTCAGGAGGAGATAGTATGCCAGTCAGCCTGGATATTAATTGAAATCTTTGGAGCCAAAACCCAGTCAAATATTTACAAGCCCATAAAATATGAAGGATGTTTCCCACCTGTCCACAACCTCTCCAGCATAGAGAGCAGTGTTCAGGGGAAAATTTGGAAAGTCTATAAGGGGTAAGATACCATCTAGTAGTAATTTTTTGGGCTAATTCACAATGGTTGAGACAATGTGTTATAGTGTATGAATAGCATAATGCTTTCTTCCACTAGTCAACTGAGTAGGTTGATTTTAGGTCAGATTCCCATTTTTGCATTGGTGAAGTTTTAAGAAATACCTCTTTATTTTGGAGGAGAGAGTAAAATAGGGAGATACCATTGATGTTGGAGAATCGGATTGTATAGCACTGCCAGACTTGTGGGCGCATATAAATTGGCGGTTTAGGGTAGGTTTTTAAGAAATGGGTGATGCGCATGTGTGAAAAGAATTCAGTGAAAGGTATATTGTAAGTTTGTACTAATTAATTAAAGGTTTGGGAAATGCTATTTTTGAAAAGCTCTTCCACCCACAGAATACCTAGCTCTCGCCATGTTTTAGTCTGCAGATTTGGTATAATAAGGTTCAAAGAAAAAAGCGAGGTAAACATTTGTATTATTTTTATTGTATACTGATTCATGTACAAAAATTCTCCAAGCTGTCATGGAGGCCCGGATTGTTAGGCGGAGTTTATGTAAATCCAGAGGAGACCATAAATCAGCTAAGACAAGTGATTTTAAATCTGGGGTATTGGACAAGGAGGATTCTGTAGTCACCCACCATGTGTTTGGAGGAGGATGAAACCTGCATTTCAGTTGTGTAAGAAGTGACGCGTAATAGTAATCAAGGAGGTCTACAAAGCCAACTCCACCGGCCCACTTGTGTTTAATAAGATGTGTAAGAGTGGTCTTTTATTTTGCCAAATAAATGCTTTAAGAATTGAGGTTAGAAAACGAAGGTGTTCATGTTTAATAGGGATAGGAAGGGTCTGGAATATATATAAAATGTGAGTCAGAATCTTTATTTTGAAACGAGCCAATCTACCCAAGCAGGTTAGTTCACAGCGAGAGAGTTTTTGAATTTCTTTATTTAGATTTCCAGTAAGAGACCTATAATTGGCTGCTGCTAATTTGGATGGATCAGGGGTTAACTGGATCCCTAAGTAGGGGATACTATTATCTTTCCAGGTGTAAGGCAATTGTTGAGTCAATTGATTTCTGAGAGATGTAGGGACACCGAGATTTAGAATTAGTGACTTAGTGTAATTTACCTTATAGTAAGAATAAGAGCTGAATATA